ATGAATTTCTACTTTTTAAGACACCTGATCTAAGATATCTTGTTATAGCAACCCAAAGTGACTAAGGAAGGCATGTACACAAGCACCATTGTGCCTTAGTGTTTAGTACTTTTTCTTCCACCCTCTTTTGTCAAGTTACTAGGTATTTAACCTGTAAATTACTTGAGCAAGAGAGTGTTTCCCCATAGGCACAGGGCTCTCTTACCAGGTTTAGACAAATTGGTGGATTTCCAGTTATTTCTGTATTCTGTCAACTGTGCTGTCACATGACTTTGCATGCATTTATACATGAGATTAAGGGAAAGAATGAGAATGTTTAGGATGGTGTTTAGAAAATAAATGTGCCTGGAGTCAGTCATAGTTCAGCCACAGTCATTACTTTGATCAGAACTCAGTGTCCCATTCAGGGATCTCGCATAGATCTGCCACCATGTAACTATCTTATTAATAGAACAAAATGTGAGATTTGCAAGAGACGCAGAATCCCTATTTCCATACCTTATAAGTAAAGAATGTGAAGCCCAAAGAAGGGGAAAAACTTGCTAATGTTCCCATAAATAGAAAATGGGAAAAAATTAAATCCTTGCTTCTTGTCTCTTACTCTGATGCTCTTTCATAGTAAATGCTCGATTCTTTCTTGTAGGAGACCTCTAAGAGCAGCCGATATATTGTAACAAGAAGCCAACTACAACATAATAGATGGTAGGAGTATTTTATCTTAGCAACAATTAAGTAATTTGCTTAGATTTGTGCAATCAGTGCATATTAACTGATAGCCTCCTAAATTCCTTCTAACAAATCTAAGCCAGGACATAATTAATTCATCTTGTCAATTCAATTCACTGGTAACTAGGTCAGATACTGCAATTTGTAAAGTAGGAACATAATCAACTTAATCAATTGCAGCATTGTCTCTTTTGATTTTGTTGGCAGTTTGAATCATCATATTCACACAGGTATTTTGATAGTGGGACTTACATTAGGACTTATATTTTTTTCTGCCACAGGTTAGATGTCATTTGAAAGTTTACTAGGGAATGTCCACAGGAAGAAGTTGCAACAGAGAACTCAGCCAACTTCATGAGGAGCTAGCTGGAATAAAATTACAGAGGTTTCAAATTGAAGTGAGGGTGTTGGTTCTTTTTAAAAAATATTTTTTATATATATTTTTTGTTGGTACTTTGTATCCTCACATGTTGCTATTAAAAGATGTGGCCTTGGCCCTCCCTGGTGGCGCAGCGGGTTAAAGCACAGCACTGAGAATCTAAAGCCACTTCCTCATGAGTTCGATTCCCGCCTGCCCCGGAGGCGACCACATGGCGTGGCAGACCTCTCCTGACCCGCCCGCTGCTCCCCTCAGCAGTGTACTTTGTCGATCTGCCTGTTCTGCTCCCCGCTCTGTCTCTGGTGAATTCTCTCACCCTCCGCATCTCTGGCCTGTACCCCAGTTCTGTACAAATAAATAAATAAATCTTTAACAAAAAAAAAAAAATGTGGCCTGCCCCTTGGAGTTGTACACCAGGTGCTTCTGACATTTTCCTTCCTTTCGATTCTGTCCTGTCCCACTCCCTCACACCATGTTCAAATGGCTTATATCACTTATTCCTTGTCTCACTCTTTGTACTATTAACTCTGTAGGAGGTTTTGGCAGAATTGTACTCTCTTTCACTTTGGTTTTAAAATATGTTTTTTTATTCTGTTGAGACTCAGTCAGGAAGAAGTGAGAGAGATTTGCCAGTGGCCAGAAGACAGAAACCATAACAACTCAGATCTTTTTCAAAAATCTTACTGTAATAAGAACATTTAGCATGAAATCAGTATTCTTAACAAGTTCTAAGTGTACGTATTTTATTGTTGATGCCACAATGTTGAATGAGATAATCTATAAAAAATGTTTTGTAAAGGCATGATCTAAATGCATGTGAAAGAGTTCTTAGTAAATGCAATTGTTTTTTGTTTCCCATATTTTTAAGGGATCCTCAAAATCTAGAGCTCAAAACTTCAAGTCAAGTTTAGAGTCCTCTGTTATTACAGGAGGACCTTCCAGCTTTTTTGTTTTGGCTGACTTTGTACCTCTACCAAAAAGTAGGAAGCAAGAGAACTAAGTTTATATTTGTCAGTTTGGTGAACAGTTAGTATCTGTGGTGTAGGTTTCCATGCTATCTAATATTACCCCTTGGTTTTCAAAGATCCATGCTATTCATATATCCATGATTTCTACAATCAAGGAGAATTACAAGAACTGCATTCACTTTCTTTGCATATGGCCTAACACCTAGCAACATACCTGGCAAATAGTAAGGGATCAGTCAATTCCTGTTAATTAAATGACTTCATGAATCTGTAGGTATATGTAAAGAAGACTGGATTTAAAGTCAAAGGACAGGAGTTTTTGTCCTTGCTCCAATCTATTGTGGATGTGTGATCTTGAAGAACAAGTCACTTTAAGAAGAAGAATTATTGTTACCATCTGCTAACAGGGAATGGTAATCCTCAAACTTTGTTTTGAAATTGAAATGAAAGAATGTATAGAGTTTTTAATAAATTGTACACCATCAAATTTGAGGTGTTTTATGTTGATTTTTAATAATGTACACCTAAAAGTAATATAATGTTATAATGTAATATTTTCCAATTTAAAAAATGCAATGATAAACTCTTGCCATTTGCATTAACATAGATGGAACTGAAGGTGATAATGGTAAGCAAGATGAATCAGGAGGAGAAAGACAAAGTGATGGTGTCACTTAAATGGAATATTGAGAAACAAATAAAGTGTCAGATAAAAGCAAATCAATAACAACCCCCAGAAGAGTGACTAGAGAATGAGGCTTGCAAAACAAGTGGGGGGAAATTGAGAAGAGGGTGTGAAGGGGGCTCAATGGACTATGGTGGAGGACTAGGAGGGCATTAATGGTGGGTGTGGTGCAGTGACTTATATCTGAAGAGGTGTAATCCTATATCTCAGAATCACATACAGTATATTAAATCAGTTTGATAAAAAGAAAAACAACTGATTATAATTGATGACTTTTAAAAAGATTTACTTATTTATGCATACAGAACTGGGGTACAGGCCAAAGGTGCAGGGGCAGTGAGAGGATTCACCAGAGACAGTGGGGAGCAGAACAGGCCGACTAATGAAGTACACTGCTGAGGGGAGCAGTGGACAGGTCAGGAGAGGTCTGCCATGCTATGTGGATCACCTCCAGGGCAGGTGGGCATCAAAATCTTAGTGCTGTGCTTTAACCTGCTGCTCCACCAGGGAGGACCCATAATTGATTACTTTTAAAAAATAAATACCTCCACATACTCTTTCAAAGTAACAAATTTAAGGTGTTTCATAATTAGTGAGTAGTGCTTTAGTAGCACTTTAAATAATTAAAACAACTAGAAAATAGATTTGTTAATAGTTACTGCTTAATATAGGTAGGTGTATGTATGTTACTTATTAAGGGTGAAAACACAAAATATATTGGCAGCGGCTCTATTCTAATTCATGTTCTATGGCACTGAGAACAAAGACACTGTTTAGGATGCCTCACATTGCCACTTTAAATCCATTATACATTACTGTATTTCCTTTAGAGTATTCTTTGACAAAGTAGCCATTTTAATTGTTCCTGCTCACTACAAGTTAGTAGATTCAGCCTTTAAACTCAGAGACCCTTTGAATTGCATTCTTTGCTAGGTGATACATAGTCTTTCAAAAGTGAATGAGTCTACAATTTTAGGCTTCCATTCTTATCATCCGATTGAATTTTCTGTAATTATAACTAACAGTGCTCTGACCTAGAGGTCTAAACACAAAGCAGAGAAAATGGGAGAGGAAAAAAGGAGAAAAACGCCATTAAAACCAAAACAAAAAAAGGAAAACAAGCCAAATCATAGCTCATATCCCACTAAAGGCCTGGATATTTCCTGTTATCTACTAATCACATTCCTCTGAATCTGTTTATGTTGGTTATGTACCTGTATGGAACAAGGAATTTTAACTTTTAAGAACTGGTTTTTTGGAAGGCAAAATAGAACTACAGGATGTCACAATTCAAAAACATTTAGTAGTCAAGTAGGTCATGCATCTCACTTATAAATGGGAAAAATCAAGTCCAGAGAGGGTGGAAAGGACTTGTTAAAGGTTGCTCAATAAGTTTTGGGTAAAATTAGCAAGCTTCTGGCATTCAGGTTGTAGCTTTACCAAGAAAAAAAAAAAGAAAAAAGAAAAAGAAAGGCTATCTTCAAAAGAATTTTTAAAAAAATCAAAATTGCTGCTGGGTTATTTGTTAAAAATAAGCCTCCGGGATCCCATGTCAGCGCTACTTAATCTGACTGTCAAAGGTAGGCCATAGGAAGCTGCATTTTAACCAGCTCAGCAATTGTTCTTATGCACACCATTGTCGAAAAGTACTGCCCTAACGACTCTCTTACCTCAACTTTTTATAGTGTCTGCAACACTAAAATCAACAAAAAGCGTCTTTCCAAGCACTTAAAAGAAACCAAGAGGCAGAAGATGTGAAATGCTGTCAAAATCCCCATGGTAACCGTATGGTGCACAGCCCAACCAGTAAGGAAAGCTCTCGCGGTCAAATCCATTTGGGAAGCTTCATTTTATACAACAGTTTAGTAGAGAGCAGGATCTTAGCAGCCTGCTAGGTTTTTTTTTCCCCCCCCCTTCCTGTTACTTCCTCTTTCGGTTGCACTGACTAGCTCAATGAAGATACTGAAGTAGTCTCTCCGCCAAGATACAAAGTCTGAAAGCATGGTGTTTGTATGTGCCATCATTTCATCCCTCGCCACCCCTAGTTTTTCCTGCCTCTACCAGTCATCCAAACTCTGCATGTAGAACCCCCAGGTGCTTCCGGGGACTCTCAACAGCACATCCCTCGGCTCGCTAGGTGTGGGAACCCACGTAATAGGAATGACTCAAAGGGTTAACGAGCTGTGTGCTGCTGAGTGGCAAGCAGAGAAGCCAATGGAGTGTCCGGGCAGGCAGGACGTCTGGCGTGGGCGGAGCTGGGACGTGGCTTGCAAAAGGGAACCCGCGGAGGCCTAAGGGTGAGAGGGCAGCTGGGGTTAGAGATTTGGAGGAAGTGGGACCAGCCTGGAGAACACGTGAGGAAAGGCCCCTACTCTCCTTTATTGTTAGGGGTTGGTAGTTCGGGGACAACCCAGGCCCGGTGTATGGCCACGGAGTTACAGTGTGCGGACTCCATGCCCTGTCACAACCAGCAAGTTAACTCAGTCTCTACCCCAAGCTCCGAGCTGCCACGACCTGGCGACCTGATTCCTGACCATGCCGGGGCAAACAGCGCCTCCACGGCTAAACTGACTTTCCTCACAGGGCACGCCCATTCTCTGGTACAGGCCGAGCGGGACCCTCAGGCCTGCGGCGGTGCCACCCTCAACTCGGATAACAACGGAGACAGTGGCAACGATGACGCACCAGCCAGCGACTCCCTCCTAGGGGACTGCGACGTCTCCCAGCAGATCGGGGCGCAGCTTAAGTTGCTCCCTATGAATGATCAGATCCGGGAGCTGCAGACCATCATCCGGGACAAGTGAGCCGAGAGAGGGAGGGGAAAGGGAGGTGGAGGGTCTCTCTGGAGGTGGACGGGGATTGGACGTAAGAGCGTTAAAGGGATGGAGTTCTTGGTTTTTGGAAACTTGGTGAGTGGAGATAGAGTGGGTTTTTTTTTTTTTTATGATTTTAAACAGGAGTGACACGTGACACGGGGCCCCAACTCTCTTCCTTAGTCTGCATTTAACTTCGCTTTGTGTAGGGAGGAGACCTCTTAGGTAGCCTCAGGCTTCCTCTTTGTCTTTTCCGGGTGACTGAGACCCGCAGCCTTCCCTGAGAGGTAAAAGGCCTGTGCTATGTGCCAGGTGTCAGACCATATGGTAAATATGTAGCTCACAAATGGTTACTACCTATGATTATGCTCAGGCGCACAAATAGAAAGAAAGTAACTTCAGGGAAATGTGCTCAACAGACCCTCCGCGCCTTTAGTGTTTGCCCCTCCGAATATGTAATTTTGTCTAAGGTCTTTTAGCCTCATAGTTCAGGTTTACTTGACCACGAGAAACCTTATAATTCAACTCTGATCAAGATTGTTTTACTATAAACTTACTAGAACATAAATGTTTCAGTAAGTTAATGAATTAAAGGGAACCTAAAAGAGTCTTTGGTTCTCCCATTAATCCCACAAGCCAATGCAGATAAAACTTCATTTTGAAATGCTATTTTGAGATCTCTTGGAGATGGGCTTTCTCAAAGGAAATAACCAGGATGAACTACCAGCTGTTATAGACGCTTGGGCTTGAGCTCAGAAAGTGAGGCTGAACCACGAGGTTGCTTTCACAAATGCAGTGTTTTATTAGCAAGTGGTGGCATGTCAGGAGAATAGCAGAGTCAGAGCTCAGAAATGGCTGCCTCCGGAGAGTAAAGTGAGGGAAGATTATGTAGGAAAGAAAGGGTGTGGGAACATGCAGGAGTAGGAAGAGTTTCTTCATTCTGAGGTTCAGGGTGTGCCACAATGTGTTGAGGGTGATCCAGGGGTGGCTGAGCACAAGATTATTGATAATACTTCTGGAGCAGTCCTTTTTGTGTTATCAATTAAAAGGATCCACCAGTGTTTGTCGCAAACTGATGTTAACAGTGTCCTCTGAAGGAATAGAAATATTTCTTTAGGCATTAAGCAGCTTATCACTGATGGAGTTTTTTGGGGATGAGTTTGGAGTTCAGGGTCCTTGGGTTCACTCTGGGCAAGGTTTCACCAGAGCTCCCCTTTCAGTCACACGTGGCGAGTTCCACAGGCGAGTTTTTCCATGAGACAGAGATGTTATATTTAAAGAGCGAGTTTATTCGGGGAACAGGACAGAAGAATAAAGAACACTTGCTTAGACACAAGTGAGCAGAAAGAGCTGCCCAGAAAGGGACAGGTTTGCTGAGAGAGGCCTTCATGGTCGCAGGCGGGCGGCCTTGAGGAGAGCAGCCTCCACTTCCCTCCACTGCAGAGAAGCCCAGCATGGTACAGGTAATGAGAGATTGGGTGCAAAGAAGCACCTGCATAGGCACAGGTGGGCAGAAGGACTGCTGCCCCCTGTCAGTGTGAAGACTGTGCTGATATAATCATTTTCTTTTTGGGAGGGGTTCACTCCTTTGTGGAGTGATCTGTTTGCTGTTGATTAGGGATAACTCTGTGGAACTGTAAATGGACCAGAGATTTCACAATGAGCCAATGAGTCCAATCTCTCTATTTTTATCCTCATGTGTGTCCCTTCAGCAGTCTGATACCTGTTTGGGGCATTTAGCCTCGTGATCAGGCACTAAGGGTCTTGATTTCTATGGCTGGCTTAATGGTCATGTTAATCCCTTCTGCGCCCACCTCCTTGTGTGAGTCAGGTTTTAACCTTGAGATGCCTCCTTTGGGGTTACTATTTTTTTCCTCCATCATTACCATGGCTCTGCAGATGTGGTACAGTGGCTTGTAAGACAAGGGGTCTTTTCCTGGTTTAGGCTCTGCTGATCACACAACAGGTTTCTTTTTCCACTGCACTTTAAATTAGTTGCTACTCTGTGTAAAAACCCATTTTTCAGTGGGTGCCTTGATTTTTTAAAATTGCTGTTGAGTCAGGTTGCTATTCTCTGAGTCAGACTGTAGTATCCTTACCTTCATATTATTGTAATAGCTGCCAGTTTGTTTCCCTGCCTCCAGTTTTTCTCTCCTCCATATGCACTTGTATGTTACTACACAATCTTAACATATAGCTTTGATTAGTAGCCACAGTGGAATCCACCCAAATGTCCATTACCTGGCGAATGGGTAAACAAAATGTGGTACAGCGGACTATCACTCAGCCAAGGAGGAATGGTATATTGATATGCAATGGATGAACCTTGAAAACATGCTAAATGAAAGGGACTAGTAATCAAACATGTGACAGTACTTAATTAAACTTTGTTTACTCAGAAAAGCCTGAGTTATATAGTAAACCTGGGTGTATATGAAATTTTTTTCTTTCTTTCTCAGTTTGGAACAAAATTGTAGGATCCAGTATACGCCGAATCAAGATGTTTAGCATTTCTGTGCTTCAAATTGATCACTTGTGAAATTAGACTATTGATAAGATCTCACAGAGCTCCTGAGAGGTTAAAATAAGCAGCTGTCTGCAGACATTTGTTATAAACTGTGAAGCGCTGTGCATATTAAAGGCATTTAAAACCATTATGTTTATATTTGTGCATGGTTCTGATAGCATCCATAAATGCTGGTTTCTTGAGCTTTTAGCAACAGTAATTGAAGTATAAATACAATTCACATTCTTATTTTAGAAGGCAACAATAAGAAATCCCAGGTAATTTTTATCCTATTCTGATATAGTATAGAAAATCCTGCACAAATTTTGATAACTAATTGATGCTTAGTTATTTAGGCCAGAGATTGTCTTACTTTTGCTTTTGTTATCTATTAACAGAGGCCTCTGTTCCTTTATCTTCAAAACTTGTCATCCCCTCATACAAACAATAACTATTTCATCCCGTTGAGGGCACTGGTGGTAAGGGTGCCTGTGGTAAGAGGAGCTGTATTTACGTAGGTCTAGTAATGGAATATGCCATCAATTATGATGCCCTGTCTTCCGTGGGGCTTATGAACTTCTCTATTTTGATGTGACATGTATGTGCACTGTGGAGCTGTGTGTTACAGGCCATTTGAGTGCATATTATACCTTTTGTTATTCCTGGGTGTTAGTTTGTACCTTTGACATTGGCATAGGAAATGGGCTGAGTCAACAGGACTGTATATTGTTGTAAATATATAAAGCAGGAAAAAATTGAGAACATTGTTTGGACTGACTGAAAATTTCTTTTCAAGTAATGCACAGTATTTACAAAATATGTTGGTTGTTGTATTATTGAATTTCAGGGAAACAGTTTTCTCTCTGAGAGTGCACTAATCTAAAATGCCAAGTAATCAGATAATTTAGTCAGTCACATGTGGGTCACAGGTGAATTTGAGAACAGAAATGACTCCTTTATTTCCAATGTTCATTGTTACAATGGATTTAACCACACTCTTCCCTTTCTGGTTCCTCTAAATATTAAGCCCAGCAAAATCTGAGTATAATACACTTTTCCCTTGAGCATAGTTCACAGCCTTCTATTTTAGGCACTGTGTTTAAGAGATCATCTCTCGTCCCCAGTTTTTTGTCTTGTTTTGTTTTCTGTTGTTTCCTGAAAGGTTAATGCTGTTTCATGAGCTCCTCAATGTTCCCTGCTTTGCCATGGTTTTAGCAGGCAGTTTGGGTGAAAGTCAAGCAATTGGGAGTGTCTAGGTATGTGAAATAGCACTAAAGGAGGACATTCAGTTTGTCCCTCTTTGGTCACCTGGCAGAGAAACAGTCTCAGGAGGGATGGTTATCCTGTGCTTCCCTAATGTCAGTGCAGCCTGTTGTAACTTGAGTCATCTGACTAGGTTATTTAATGTTCTTAACTAAAGTTGTGCATCTAAATTACTCGAGGAGACTTCTCTGTTTGTTTAAATGCATATTTTGGGCCCTCATTCTTAGAGGTTGCTTGAGTAGTTTTGGTGGAACCTGAGTACCTGTAGTTTTATAAGCACCATAGCGATTGCTAGTCTCAGTCCAGGCCAATGGGAAAATGGTGTTCTCCCACATTTGGTGATTTTGGGAACTTCAGATTTGGAAAACAGGCTGAATCGGGGATTCTACGCACTAAGCAGAATCAGTCTAGAGAGCCTGATCTTACATCACCTTCAGATTGCAGGGATCTTGGAAATTTTCTCTTCAAATTACACAAAACCAGAGTCCAGAGTGCTAACCGTTACCTTATGGAACCCAAATTGTACAAAGTCAAGAAGATGTCTGCCACATAAAAACTTTGACCTGCAATTTGTTTAAAACATGGATATGTATCTTGTTTTCCATGTGCATTTTCTGACTTTTAGGCTAGGAGGGAGAAAGTTGCCTCTTTAAGCTACATGTAGCAAACTCACACACATGTATATGATATTTATTGGACCTAGCCAAAGAAGGTCTGGGCTGGCATAGGACCTGGCACAGAGGCACTTAATATTGAATTCATAGTTAAGTAAATAAACTTGAATGACTGAGGTCTGGGTTCTAAGGGAAATTCTTTTTCTTGTTCTACTAGATTTTGAATTTATATTGAACTCTGCTGCTTTCAGATAAATAATTGGTGATGCTCTATTTTATAAGCTGTTTAAGGAGGTGCTGTTGGCAGATAACTGAAGGTTACACAGGACTGTTTAGGGATACATGCTCTAAAAGCAATTCAGACATTTGTGTACACAAAGACAAAGGAAGCAGTCAGTTAACTGATAGTTTTTTGTTTTTTAAAAGAATTGGTGTGGAAAGAAAGAGAATATGAGAGAGAGAGAGAGATTTCAAATAATAGTTTTCCAATAGTTACCAAACCCCTCATGGGCTAATGCCTAGCTAAACAGGCTCGGCCTAAAGCTTGCCACAAGTCATAGGTAACTTTCGGCAGAAAACAACAAGAAAACAGATGGGTAGGTCC